ACAATTGAATAATCTATTGATAATTCTAATTTGTAAATCGATATCATGTTAATTGATTATTTTGATGATTACTAATAATTTCCGAAGCAGATCGGGAGAACTTAAGTACAAACTATTGTCAAAAAAATTTTCGTTATATGTTCGCATGAGTTCCACGGTGGAATAAATAAGTCATTTAGTGGTATACAGTTTTTTTAAAATTAACATTTAGGTATAGCAATTGATTCACAAAACATGTCATTGAAATTTTGATTGCAAATTACGAAGAGGAACCAAACGGATCCCATTTTTCTAGTTCATTATTTTCATATAATATATCTCTCAAAATTCTATATCAAGATCACGGGGTATTGTTTAGCAAAATACCCTGATTCGTATGTGTACAACGGAAACGAAGTTTCCGCTAGTAGCCAACGGCTCAGGATATTTTTATTACAAATATAATACCGGTTTCCATATAAAAAGAAATATTTAAAAAAACATTTTCACAGTTTATAACATTGGATGGTTATGATCTGGATAAATGACCTTAGCATCACCCGGATAAAATGGTAGTCGAACTAGAGAGTGGAATCGATGAGTTTCGAGAATTGGTTGATCACAAACTCTAGAATTTCGAACATTAGTAAAAAAATTTTGACCAATGTTCGAATGTTTGATGAATCTTTAAAAAATTTAGTGTAGCATTTATCAATTGTACTGCTATCATTTTAAATATATAATTTATATATCAATTATATATGACGTACGTCGGAACGAAATTATTGTAGATTTAGAATCTACTTAGGTTGGAATGGAATTCCAAATGTAGTCCAAGTTGATACGAAATTTAAAAGCAACTTAAGTCGATTCTATATTTGGTACTATATATTGATAAAATTTAATAGCAACTTTATTTAAATTCGATACTGTAATAATCATGGTATATTATCAAAATAAAATAAAATATTTTATTATTTATTTTTTTTTTTAATTTCACTTTTCATTCTTTGCAACTCTTATCTGATGACAGAATATTAAGATTATCCACTTTTACCCCGTAATTCAAGGAATTGCCTTCCAAAAGTTTAGTAATGAGTCGGCAACTAGGCAATATTAAACCTTACGTGATGACTTTTGTTTTTGCATTAAGGCTTTACAAGATTAAACAATACAAAAATCGGGGATGCGAAAAATCGTTATTTGGCAAAAAATACATGATTAAAATAGTATTTTTTCAATGCTCATAGGCATTCGAAAAGCATCTATTATGCAATCCTCTTCACAAGTAAACGGTGTTGAAAATTCGTTGTGCATGTATTGTTTTTTTTCACAAAAATTAACAATTAATGTGCAGTATGCACAAAAATAAAATAACATTCGTGCATAAAAAAATCTTTTTACACAGCATGCAATTGCAAAAATGCAAAAATCCATGAGACAAAATTGCTGCAAATGTAAAATAAATATACCTTGTAGAAATAGTTGCTATTGTCACGGGCAAAGAAGGATTGTCAAATTGGCACAGTAATCTCGTGACTAAACCGGACATAATATTGGAATTCTGGATCCACAGTTATATGAGGCTTACTTGCCAAAGAATAGAAAGGATAGCCTACATGAAATCCGAAGAAGAATTCTGAAAAGAAGAAACTAAGTTCTAGAAAGAAAATCTGGAAAATAGGCTAAAGAAAGAATTCATTGGGAGAAATTATTATTATAATTATTATAAGCCCCTTGATGTATGATAACTTCACCCTGATTCTTTAATAATGTATTCTATAAATCTTCCCTAAGCCTCTTGAATTCATTAAAATAGAATAAGCTATAAAAGCACTAAGAGTTCATGTTAGTCAAAGAATATCCTTCAGGATTCCAATAATTCATTCCTACCTTTAATAAATTACTAGTTAATTCCTTTTAATAAATTACATTATTGTCAAATCACCAACATCACACCCTGGTGAGTTGCCTTATCACCTAAATTATATTATTTTTGTATATAAATTGATAAAACTATATGATTCACCTTGCAACATTTAGTGGTGACTATAAAATCCAAAACTTCCCAAATAATCTAAATTATAAAAAGAACAAAAATGAATAACAAACAATTTAAACAGTTCATGAAAGTTATGACTAAAGCTGTTAATAAAGAAGAAAATAAAATCCAAAAGAAAATAATTTTGTAAAGATTAAGTCCTTTTATAGTACTGATAATGAAGATCTATTCAGTAGTTCGACAAATTTTAAAGAGCCTCTAAAGCTAACAATTGGACTGATGATCATAGGATAGAAATCGCATCAGGTTATTTAAAAGAAATGGCTGCAAAATAGTATAAAAAAAATTAAGAAGATATTAGATATTAGAAAACAAAGGATAAAAATGAAGAAGATAAAAGTTTTTATCATTTGTTTATAGAAGATTTTGCTCTTGAGGAATGTCAACATTGGTGGCAAATTGAGTTATAAGGGTTGTGACAAAAGAAATCTGAAAAATTGGATACCTATGCGACTAAGTTCAAAAAATTGCTTAGTAGAATTAATGTTAATAATAAATTTTCAGATATCTATGTGGTTAGAATGTTTTTAAATAAATTAAAGAGCAATAATGCTATTTTCATAGCTATAGCTGCCCCTAAAAACTTAGCTGAAGCAATAGCTGCAGCAAAAAGAGTTGAAACTAAAGATTGTTATAACCAACAACCATTCAAATGAGAGGTTGTACAACAACAAGTGGGAAGTAAGTTAAGTGATATAAAAAAAAGAATTGAAAGTTTAGCATTAAACTATGCAACTTTAACTGCCCAAATAAAGGATACAAGAGTTCATGATTCACAAGATAATTATTATAATAGATGGCCTCAAAATAATTATAAATGGAAAAGAAGTAGAAGAGTTGAATATAGCAAATGTGAGAAAAGAGAAAATATAGCTAGAAATTGTATATCTAAGAAAAGAAATTATATTTATAAGAATCAAAAAAAAAAATAAAAAAATGTTACTAAAACAAAAACTATTAATTTTTGTGAAATAGAAGAAGACAATGATAACAAAGTATATATAGTAAATAATATTACCTCTTAAAAAGCTATGAAATGTCTGGCAAATCCAAAGTAGAAAGAAGGATTATTTAAGGTAGAAGAATACACTAGAAACAAAGGGAAGAAGAACAAAACATAGAAGTGGAAGAATCACCTATTATAGAAAAACCCCTTCCTCAAGTATAATCAAACAGAAAAAGAGAATCTTTAAAAGTAGATTCTTTAAGACCTTATAATATTGCATATGATATCTTATCCTTAACAACTAGTGCTACAGTAGAACAAATATTACAATATCTGAATTAAAGAAGAAATTTAGCAAAAATATTAAAAAGACCTGCAATAGAAAAAGAAGCTAATTTTATAAAAGAATACTACTATATAACTGCTGCAAGATTTATGTTTGTAGAGGTCCAATCCAGATAAATTCATCATCCATTTATCCATATCTGAATTTATCCGGATATCCATTTACCATTGGTATCTGGATAATCTGACAAATATTCAGATAATTATCCGGATATCAATAGTAAAATGGATATCCAAATAAATTCAGATCTGGATATCCGATAGATAAATAGATAAACGGATAATGGATAGAAGCTCTATATATTTGGATTAGGAAGAATCTAGTATTAGTTGTACTAGATTCAGATGCTGTGGTTAGCATTATATCAAAACAATTATTAGACAAACTTGGTTTAAAAATATACGATAGGCCTATTATTACAGTAGTAATAACTACAGAAACAAATGCCAGAACACTAGAAAAAATTAAAGATATAAAAATAGTAATTAAAGATGTGGTGATCTCTACTACTTTACATGTAATAGAGTTAGTGAATAATACTCTACTATTAGGAACTGACTAGTTTTAGAAAATGAAGACCCAGATTTATTTTTATAAGCAAAAATTATATTTACATTATGCTGATAAATCAGCAGAAGTACTAATTTCAAATAAAGTTACTAAAGATCTTAAATCCTATAAAGAAGATGAATATAGCATAGTGAAGATACTTTTGATGAATTTGACTACGAAGACAAAAAATTCGATAAAGAGGAAAATATAGAAAGTTGACTCTTATATAGTGTAGAAAGTCCTGCCTTAGATCTCACTAATATAGAAGAGGTATCTACAAAAAAGAATGCAAAAAACAATGATAAAGAAAAATTTGTAAGAGAAAAAATTGAAAAAATAGTTAATAATGAAGAATTAACCTGAGAACAAAATATCAAAATTAAAGAATTTCTACTCAAAAAAGAAACCTTATTCGCATAAGGGCTAGAAATTTAGGACACACTAATATTATCAACCATAGTATAAATACAGGTGATGCTGTACTGATTAAACAAACTTATTATAAGGCCACCTATGAGAAAAATGAATTTATTAGAAAAGAAATAAATAAATTAAAAGAACAAAGATTAAAAAAGAAGTAAACAGTCTTTGGGCCTCTTTGGTAGTTATAGTACTAAAAAAAAATGGTAAACTATGATTCTGTATAGATTACTGAAAACTAAATGCAGTAACAAAAAAAGATATATATCTACTTCCACACATCAATGACCTTCTTGATATATTCAGTACAGCTTAATGGTTTTCCACTTTGAACCTGATAAGTGGATATTGGCAAGTGAGAGTAAATAAAGAAAATATAAAAAAGACAATATTTATAATAAAATATAGTACTTACACCTTTAAAGTAATGCCATTTGGTCTTTGTAATACTCTGGGAACTTTCTAAAAACTAATGGACACAGTACTTGGTAATTGCCTTGGAAAGTTTGCTATTGTTTACCTAAATAACTTAAATATTTATTCAAGTTTAGTGGAAGAACACCTAAATTATTTACAATTTGTCTTTAACAAATTAAGAAAAGCAAAGTTAAAATTAAATCTAGAGAAGTGTACTTTCTTTAAGTCTGAAATAAATTATCTGGAACATATAATAAATAAAGAGGGAGTAAAACCTGATGAAGCAAAATCTGAAAAAGTAAAGAAATTTTTAATACCAGAAAATCTTTACGAATTGAGAGGATTTCTTGGATTAGCATCCTATTATCATCATTTCATTAAGGGATTTGCCACGATAGCCTGACCTTTATATAAGTTATTAGAAAAAAAAATTCTATATAAATGAAGTGAAAATCAACAAATGGCATTTAAAACATTAAAAAGATACTTGATGATGGCTTCTATTTTAAGATATCCAAATTTCAAAGAAGAAATTTATCTTCATACTGATGTATCTGGCATAGGATTGAGAGCTATATTAGCTCAAAAAGATAAAGACTACAGGAATATGTGATAGCATACACCAGTTGAGGATTATCTAAGACTGAATATAATTATTCAGCCCTGGAAATAGAGTGTTTAGCTATCATCTGGGCTGTAGAATACTTCTATTATTACTTGGGAGCCAAATATTTTACCTTAATTACTGATCATGCTGCTCTTAAATAGTTACATACCTCTGAACCAAAAGAGAAAAGAGTATATTAAATTTTAAGACTACAGCCATATGATTATTCTATTATATATAGGGCTAGTAAAAAACATTCTAATGTGTATATATTATCATGAATGTATCTACTAAAGAAATAGATAAAAGATAAAAAAAATAATAAATTAAAAAATTAAAAAAAAAAATTTTTTTTTTGAGAAATTATTGAAAACTTTAAATAAAAAGATTAATTACACTGAAATAATATAAGGTACTCTGCCTGTTAGTCATTGATTAAGCTTGGTACTGGCTAGGCATATGTATATATAGTTACACCCCTCTAAGTGTATATCTTCTAAGTACAAGTACTATATAAAACCTTTTTAAATGTATGATCTAGGTTGGCCCCAACTTATAAGAGTCCTATATATTTTACTCTCTATAAATGCAAACATCTCTAAGTGCAAAATTTTAATTTTTTTCACTATGGTCCTGACAGGATACACTTAGAGAGACGTGACTGTATGCTAAAATAAGTACTGCACAAAAATTGGAGGTATGTTCAACCTGTTAGTTGCTGATTAAGCCTGGTACTAGCTGGGTTCACTACCAAAATAAGTACTATGCGAAATTTGGATTTGACTAAATATAATTAAAAAAAATAAATAATACAAAGTTGAAATATAAAAGAAGTGAAAGAATTAGTTATAATTGGAAAACGAAATTTGAATTAAATAGAATAGTTAAAAAATTTTTTTAAAAAAAGAAAATTACTTTTAGGAAAAGATTAATTAAGAAAACTAAACCAAAATCTGACAATAAAATTAATCCAGTTCAGGTAGTCGGTATCCTGGAAAATAAAAATAAAAATACTTTGTTATCAAGTGTTAAAGATATACCTCACAGAGTATACATTATCTTGTACTTTAACTCCTCAAGAATGATGAAGTATCCAAGCCCAAAGCCAATTCTTTGTAATGGTTTAATCTATAAGAAAGATAAATACAAGGTTAATCATTTATTAAGAGTGATCCAAAAATATGAGGTAGAACCAATCCTATTTTTGGTTCATACTTATCCATTGGGAGGACATTTTGGAATTGATATAATATTTAATAAAATAAGGGCTAAATATTATTGGCCACAAATATATAATGATATTAGAAGATTTGTTTGTACCTGTAATACCTGTCAAAGAAGAGACAAAAATTTAGCAAGACCCCATTGCATTTAATACAAGTAGAAGCTCTATTTTACAAAATTGGAATTGATATAGTTGGAAAATTATCTACAACTCCAAAAGGTAATAGATATATTGTAGTTACTACAGACTACATGACAAAATAGCCTGAGGCTCGAGCAATCAATAATGCTAATGCTCAGGAGGTAGCTGATTTTGTATATGAGAATATTGTCTGTTATCATGGTTGTCCACAATATCTACTATCAGACAAAGGCACGCATTTCTGTAATAATTTAATAGATAAATTTCTTAAGAAATTCACCATTAATCACTATTACTTCACATCCTATCATCCACAGACAAATAGATTAGTGAAGCATTTTAATAAGATGCTTTGTGAGTCTATATCTAAACTAATGACTAACTTAAGAGAATGAGATTCATTAATACCTTTGGTACTCTTTGCTTATCAGATGGCCAAACAAAATACAACCCAAATAACCTTATTCTTCCTAGTATATAAAAGAGAAGCAAGACTTCCTGATAAAAATGAAAAGTTGTTAGAAGGAACTTTTCTTCAATGACTATTTGAGTTAATTGAAGTATTATCTAAAGTAAGAAACAATGCTATCAGAAGAGTTAAAAAAGTACAAGAGAGTGCTAAGAAAAAACATGATCAGGATTTACTACCTATAAAAGTATTAAAAAGAGAAGATCTAGTATTAGTATATAGGGCTTCTTAACAGCACTCTAAAAGCTACAAATTATACCCAAAATGGAAAGGACCTTTTATTATTTACAAGATGCTTGAAAAGGAGTGCATAAACTATATACTATTAAGCAACAAGTAATAAAGTCACCTATAAATAGAAAGCTGTTAAAAAGATACTATTCTAGATAAGGAAATTAAACCAAAGAATTAAGTGCAAAAAGGGATAACAATTAATTAAAATCACTTTAAATAGCAACTAATATATTATAATGCCATAGTGATCATTCTCAATAATGAGATTGTAATTTTTATAAGATTAATAAACTATATACATATTATTGAATTAAATATAAGAGATATTAAATTATATAATTATTAATCTAGTTGAATGATAGTAGGTATATTATAAAGAGGTTACCTTGAATAATAGATATCTTTTAAGTTTTAATTCAAACTCACATTATATTTGAAGAATAAACACAATGTACTTATTGAAGATAATACTAATCGAGTATGATGTCTATTATGTGATATTAAGATAGACAAGTAAAAATAAATATATTAATGATTACATGAAAGAATTACAACTTAGAACCCGGCATTATGAAAATATGACAGAATAGAGTCTATTTAATAGATTTAATAATTTAAAAAATAAACAAAGGAGGATTTAATTCTGTATTCTCTATGACCTAAATAGATTATAGCTAAAAGATTAAAAGTACTAATGATAGTGATATATATAGTATTATAATCACACAACCATTTAACATCTTTACGATCAAGACATTATCTAACTATAAGAAAAATCCTTATGATTGTTTGAAAGAGTTTGACCATTATACAAAATGACAATTATGGTGTAGTAGTTCTAAAATATATGGATTAACTCAAAACATAGAAATGAATAAATACATAATAGTGAATGACTCTTCTTGTCAATCACTCGTACAAAAATTTTTCTAAAAAACTACTCAACAAATATTCTATTTTTGCAATAATTTACTAAGACAGCATTATCTGTTGCCCTAACAAAACTTTCTCTACATAGAAAATTATATATAATACTTAAATTTTAAAGAAATAGCTCTTAAACTCTTTAAACAATAGCCCTCCAGGCCAAATAAGCTTCTTTTGCTATTTACTCAAAAATCTAGATTCTAAACTTCATTACAAAGCATATTACAAGTTACTCTACATATTTTCCTCTTCAAAACAAGCTATAATAGACCCTTGTAGCCTTAAAACTGACCAAGTTACAAGCAAAACAATTTTTA